GAGTTCAGACGTGTGCTCTTCCGATCTTTCATTTTCCTAGTTGTATTTTTATATGTCGGTCTAGTGTCATTGTCGTATTTGCTTTTATTAATATTAAAACAAAAAATTGCATCTTAAATTATTTAGGTTGATCTTGTTTCAGCATTAAAAAAAGTAACGGAAAAGTAACGGTAACGAGCTATTTTTAAAAATCAGTAACTACCCAGATAGCACTACAGAGAATGAAAAAAGAACTCAGTTATATGTCACTAATTCTGAGTTCATTTTCAGATGTAAAAAAAATTCTTTTTCTAAAAGAGATTCTTTTTGCACCTGAAAATAAACTCAGAATTGATGACATAAAATTGAATATAGTAATGAATTCTTTCGGGCTCTGTGTGCTATCTGGGTATAGTAACGGTAACTATATAGCTATTTTTTTTAACTCGATAACTAGTTACTTTTAAAAAGTAACTTTCCATTTCCTGATTATAATAAATATAATATATAACTTTTTGGCGAATTTAGGTATCGATGTTCCGAGGCACAGCGAGAGTTGTCGGATCGGCTGCTAGCCGAGGCGACGCTCGCATGCGAGTCTGCCAAGGAAATCGTAGAAACTAACAAGGAGGAGACGGATCACCGACTGCTGGAGAAGCTCAACGACATCGAATTTCGTAAGAAGGAATTACTGCGGATACGAAAGGACAGCGTTCTGGAACTCGATGCGCTGTCCGTGTACGAACAGCGAGTTACGAACGTGCTGAAGTCTGTAAAGAGAAACGCTCTCGCAATTAGCGAAAAATGTCTCGTTGCTAGGTCATCAAGATTTTTAGGCTTCAAGCAATTTCGCCGAGTAAATTTTACTTTTTCTTTAAAGTTGTTTTTTTTTTTTTTTAATGTCATACAGGGAGCGTAGATTGGGCATCGACTTGGTCCACGATGACGTTGAGAGGAGTCTGCTGAAGGAGCGCGAGGTGATACGAGGAGCGGAGCGTTTGCTGGATCGAGTCCTGGCCGAAACTCGCGAGCAAATCCGTAAATTGAAAGCCACGTTGTATCACATCGATCACGATCTCGAAAATAAGGAGTGCAATTTACGTATCGATCGTCGTAACGTGACTCTAAGGGAGACCGATTTCAATCTGAGTATCTATCACGCGGATATTTCGCGTCTCGACAAATCGTACGTGTCGCTGTTGCTTTCAAGCATTGCATATAATTTGCATACATTATTATCGTCGGAATACAATTTAAAACACTTAACCTTTAGCCGCGACTAGAATTGTTGCATTATGATGTCAAGAACAATAGACGGGGATTTTCTTTGTTTTTTACGCTGAAAAAAATGATAAGTTTTTTTAGCGTGATAAGTTTTTTTAGCGTATTTCCCGCGTAGAAATAAACTACACGGGGAGAATTTTTTTTTAAATTTACCCTGCAAATCATGTTAATTGTGGGACAATATAGTATTTAGGCAAATTTTACCGTGCGCTACAATAGGATTACGCAGTAAAATTTATTGTAGTGCACAGTAAAATTTGCCTAAATACTATATTGTCCCACAATTAACATGATTTTCAGGGTAAATTTTAAAAGAAAATTCTCTCCGTGTACAATCGTATTAGTGCAGTGAAAACACTGAAATGAAATGATAGTAGTGTCACCGCTGGTATGAGTATATAGTGACACACTACTACATTTCAGTAGTGTTTTTATTGCGTGAGCAGTTTATTTGTACGCGCGAATTGTGTTCGATAATAGTAATAATCTTGAGAATATATCAAAGAAAAATAATACATTGACGATCAAGGATAAATGAGCAAAAAGCTGGATATTAGTAGTCAATAACAAACTTAATATTTCGAAAAAGATCCAGACGTTTCGGCTTACATTTTAAGCCATTCTCAGTAGATCGCATTACAATTTAATATAAAATCACAAAAATTAAACATATTAACGCAGAATTTCTATTATTCATCATACATCACAATTGCTGTAGAAAAAATTAAAGTATATATTTACGCAGATTTTTTAATGTTCGTCATAAATCATGAAATTCTTCCAAAGGACTACCAGTATGATTTATGACGAACATTAAAAATCGGAGCGTAAATATGCTTCAATTTTTTCTGCAGTAATTGTATGACGAATAATAGAAATTCTGCGTTAATATGTTTAATTTTTGTGATTTTATATAAAATTGTAATGATCCACTGAGAATGGCTTACAAGGGCAAGAGCAGGTTAGTGTCCTGATTTCAATTTTTTTGATGAAACTAGAGGCAAAATAAAGATGCAGTGTTCGAGCGTTTGATTGAATGGACCTTAGTTTTTGAGTAAGAATTTTCAAAAAATAAATTTTTAAATAATAATATTTAATATTTATTAATAAAAAATGATATGTTTCTTTCACTCAACATCGCTTGTAATAATGCTTGGGAAAAATATAAATTTTTATGTAAAAAGGTCGTACATTACAATATCAGTAATAAAAAATGAAAAAAAATAAAAACAGGCATTAAAAAAAAATTTTTTTTTTCATTTTTTATTACTGATATTGTAATGTACGGCTTTTTTTACATAAAAGTTTGTATTTTTTTCCAAGCATTATGATAACCGATGTTGAATGAAAGAAAGATATCGTTTTTTTATTATTAAATGTTGAATATTATTATTTAAAAATTCATTTTTCGAAAATTCTTACTCGAAAACTAAGACCCATTCAATCAAACGCTCGGACACTATCTTTATTTTGCCTCTAGTTTCGCGAAAAAATTGGGATCAGGATACTGACCTGACCTTCCCCTTGTTAATGCAACCCGTAACGTCTGGATCTTTTTCGAAATATAAGTTTGTTATTTGGCTACTAATATCCAATTTTTGGCTCATCTGTCCTTGACTGTCAATGTATTAATTCTTAATTTATTGAGCATAAATCGTTACTTTAATTAAAGAAAAATAAGATGCTTGCGCAAGATTAACTTAGCAATCGTCTTATTTGCATATGTCTAATATATGATGTATAATCCTATAATTGCACGAAACATTCAAGAATAAAGAATTGAAGTCACGTACAAAGGGACTGTTAAACGCAGGGTAATAATGCTAAATGAATGGGAACTGCAATCAAACAGCAATGTTATCGATGCAAATAAAGAAATGAATTGTGCGAAGCAACTGCGCTGTTACATCGATGCGATAATTAAGCAAACGATTGATGATTTAAATAGACAGAAAAATGTCACAAACGAAGCTTTCAGGCAGCGCATCGAGCAGACCCGGGAAGCTAAAACCAAACTGGAACTTCAGCACTCGGAGGTGCGTAAAAAAAAAAATAAGGATAATTTTTACACAAATCTCGAAGGTACTGACGGAAATTATTAAGATTTTTATACAAAGCGACGAGTTTGCGAATCTCTGTCTTCGTAATCTGTAAAACAAAATCTTGTGAAAATATCTCCGATAATTTTTTCATATTTATAACTGCAATTTTTTTGCTTTTTTGAGATTTTTTGAATTTTAACATGTTAATGGGCCAAATAAACTTCAGATAAATGATAGAGTAATTCTCAAAAAATATATGCATTGATATTCATAAAACATTTTTACAATATTTAAAAAAAAAGGCATGGCATCGATACTTGCATATTTCGAAATATATTGTTGTCACTTTTCCACGAAATTAATTGCGTATGAAAATACTGAACAATTAAAAGCAACGTAAAGCTGGAACTACGTATATGTACATTTTGAAAGATAGAGTAACTTTTTTTATATTCACTTCATATACATAGTAGATCGGAAGAGCACACGT